ATCACATTCTTTTGTTTGCTTGTTTTTGGAGGCACTGGGGTTTTAATTAGGATCTTTCCAAATCCAGCTCTCTACCACTTGACTCACTGCCCCCAGGCCTACCTGAAGCTTTTTGATTGTCACTTTCACTGATATGATGCTAAGTACAAGTGTAATTATAAATTTTTTAAAATGGGGAAAGTATGCTTGGAAGGGGTGACTTTTGAATCTGATGTTAAAATCCACAGGACTTGCCGGGAACCGGTGGCTCTCACCTGTCATCCTAGCTACTCAGGAGGCAGAGATCAGGAGGATCAAGGTTCAAAGCCAGCCTGAGCAAATCATTTGCAAGTCCCTATCTCAAAAAATCCTGTCACAAAAAAGGGCTGGTGGAGTGGCTCAAGGTGTAGGCCCTAAGTTCAAATCCCAGTACTGAAAAAAAAAAAAAGAAAATCTGCAGGACTTGAACAAGCAGGAGAGTGAGGGAAGAGAAATGCCAGAGCACATTCAGGAGGCGGGAAGAAAAAGCAGGATGTGTTTGGGAGACCAGCATGTGCCCTGGCCTCCTGGTGAGGTGAGTGGAAGGGGAGGTGCAGGTGGGGATAGGGTGGCCTGTAGAGGGAGCCAGGTGGAGAAGGGCAGGGGAGAAGGTCAAGTTGTGGATGGTCTTAAACCTGTGGTGGAGTGGAAGGTTTGAGCAGTTGGGCAGGGGCAGGTGGCAGGTCACATCTCGGAGGAGAGAAATCAGGGCGAGATGGGTGCATTGGAGTTGAAGGAGGATGGGATGCTTTCCCCTGAGTGCCCTGAGTGGTGGTTTTCTTCTGCAGCCATGCTGATCACAGGCAACCTTCCCTTGAACCCCGTCAGGGAATCACCACGAAATCCCACATTCCCATAAATTAAAGACGACAGTAGCAGGGACAGTTTGGGGAAAAACAACAGTGGCCTACCTAGCAGCTGTCCCTGCCAGCAGGGGCCTTTAACACCCACTGGGCCAGGCTGGGAGTGGTTCTGGTAAGATAACATCAACATGGCTGTGGTCGCCCCAGTCAGTTTTGTCCAGTGAACCAACAGACCATCTCGGGGGTGAGGGTCCCCCTCTCTTGATCATTGACTCCAGCTTCCAGTGGGGGCAAAGTGGGCGACACTGGGATGACTGAGGACGAAGACAGGACGGCAGCGAATGTTTCTTTCATAAACACTTGGTTACTGGGGCCTCCTGAGCAGCCAGGTGGGTCACATTTGCTGGGCACAATATACCATCCCCTCCCCCACCTCTCAGCAGATCTAATCGCCAAGCTCTGTGTTGATGTGAACTGGATTTTAGGGCAAAATGATTCTAAGAAGCCCCAGATCATTTCTGGGTATATTTGAAATATTCAAGTCTGCTGTCCCCAACCATATAGGAATATTTGTCACACCCTTTGTACTGAGGGCTGGTTCAGGAATACCATTTTACTGTGGGCAGGTGCAGTGTTCATCTTTTTCTTTTTCTTTCTGGCAGTACTTGGGTTTGAACTCAGGGCCTCACGCTCGCTAGGCAGGCGCTGTACCATTTGAGCCACTCTATCAGTCCATGCAGTGTTAATCTGTTTTTAACCTTGACAGAGACTTTACATGTAAAGGGCCATTGTTGTATTTCCAGTTCACAGCTGGGGAAGCAGAGGCTGCAAGAAGTCAGGAACTTTCCAGAAGTCATACAGCCCAAAGGTGCAGTGCTGACACTGCAAACTGTCTGACCACAGAAAGGCCCATTTCCCCACTTCTGCTCAATGTTGGTTAACCTTCCAGAGTTGGCTCCCCAGGACAAGGGTGAGGCATGTGAGGTGTGGAGTAGCAAATCTAAGAGCACCCCAAAATCCCAGTAATCCAGATAATAAATGTTATAATGCAATGCTTTTAAAAATCGAAATTAGCTGGGTGCTGGCAGCTCATGCCTGTAATCCTAACTACTCAGGAGGCAGAGATTAGGAGGATCACAGTTCAAAGCAGCAAATAATTCAGGAAACCCTATCTGGAAAAAAACCTATCACAAAAAAGGGATGACAGAGTGGCTCAAGTGGTAAGAGTGCCTGCCTAGCAAGCATGAGGCCCTGAGTTCAAAACCCCAGAGCTGCCAAAAAAACTGAAATTAGATCAGGCAAAGTGGCTAAAGTCTGTCATCCTAGTTACTCACAAAGCGGAGCTCAGGAGGATCAAAGTTTGAGATCAGCCTGGGCAAAGTTTGTGACACCCCATCCCAAGCAATGGCTGGGTGCAGTGGTACACTCCTGTCATTCCAACTCTATGTGAGAAGCACAAATAGGATCGTGGTCCAGGCCAGCCCTGGACATAAAGTGAGACCCTATTCAAAAAATAACTAATGTGAAGACCCTGAAAATAAAAATAAAAATTTACACACACACACACACACACACAATCTAAAAAGGGTGGGAACACAGCTCAGGGTGCAGCATTTGCTCATCGTGCGTGAGGCCTCCCTGGATTTGGTCCCTAGCTCTTCCCCATCACCAAAATCCATGATGAGCAAAATATCAGAACTTCAGATAGCAAGATGACCTAGCCGGTGAGTCAGGTAGCATGGGTACTTCTCTGTGGGCTGTCTCTTCTGAGCAGGATTCCAGAATCTGGAGTTGGTTATAGCCTTGCTCATGACTTCCTTCTTTAGGCTCTTACAGTGCTGACCTCCTCTGCCTCCCACCACACATCCCCACAGTTAAACTCCAAACAAAGACTCAAGCACCTGAACAATAAAGATTTTCCTACTAGCTGGGCACCTGTGGCTCACGCCTGTAATCCTAGCTACTTGTGAGGCTGAGATCCGGAGAAGTGCTGTTCAAAGCCAGCCCAGGCAAATAGTTCAAAGGCACCATCTCCAAAATAACCAAAGCAAAATGGACTGGAGTTGGAGCTCAAGCGTAGAGCGCCTACTTTGCAGGTGTGAAGCCCTGAGTTCAAATCCAAGTCCCACCAAAAAAAAAAAAAAAGGGGGGGGAGGAGAAAAGATTTCAATGCTGACCAGAGAGTGGGCATGGAGCCACGTGGGGATGAGGGCATGGCCTTGCCTGTGCCACTCCTCCTGCTGCCCTGGAGGAGACTCAAGACTCCTCTGCCTGTGCAAGGCCCCGCCTGGGTGGGAGCTTCCCCCTACCAGTGGCGGATCCTAGGAAGTGCACAGGACATTCAGCAGAGGATGTCCATGTGCTCTTGGGGTGGTCAGCGGTTGGCAGGTCCCCTCCTCACTCTACAATGCGTCACCATCGGTCACTGGCCAAAAGGAAAGGCGGCCCATTTGGGTTCAGTTGAAATTCGCATGATGAGAGGTTTGCCTGAGCCCCGTGGGCCCTTGGCTCTGTGCATCCCTTCTCCATGGCCTGAGCTCTCATTTCCCTGGAAAGCAGCAGGCCGCAGCCATGAGCCGAGGGGCACCAGTGGCAGGCACCGAGGAAGGAACGCTCTCCAGCTGGGTGCAGAGCCAAGTGACTGGAGTGCGGGGAGCAGGAAAAGCAGGAGTGCCCCTGTCCCTGGGCAGGCGTGATGGCCCAAGCCTATAATCCTAGGATTATACCAGCTGGGGATTTAACCAGCTGAGGATATAAAGAGACCTTCTATGGAGCTGCCCAAGGCAAGCTGTGGTTATGGTCACACCTTGTCAGTGCATTGAATAGCTTCAAGCATGGAGACCAAAGGACACTTCACTATGAGGATTGTGGTGAAATCTGCTGAGGGTGTGAGATTTGGGGAAATTCAAGTCTAGGGCTTGAGCTCACTTCTAGACAAAATCTGGTTTGTCTGGGTCTAGGGGAGGAGGGAATCCCAGACACCAGACTTTCACCCCTAAAACTAGAAAAGTCTTGGGCAAATTGAAATGAATTTGATCCCGTGCTTGCAGTGTTTCCCTCAGACTCTGTGTCCTTTTCCACATGTGCAGAATTGAAATACTAATAAAACCTGCTGTCTGCACCTTACAACCTATGAGACTCATCACAGTTAGCATCTTATCTCCATCAGCACCTCCCACTGCTAAAGACTGTTTCTTCCTCCCTGTTTCTGCTCTTTGGGGGCAAAACCTACTTTTTTTTCATCTCAGCCTCCCCTGGCTAGGCCAAGGGCAGATCCCGGGGAAATCTGTGCTAAATCAAAAGTGCATTGGAAAACAGCACAAGGTATACTCCTTTGCTTCCTGGCACCCTCCTTTCGTGCCTGCCTACGAGCATCCCCCCAGGGCTCTGATGGGAGTGCAGGAGGGTGGCAGCAAGGCAGTGACAGGGGACCAGACAAAAGGTGAACAGACAGTGAGACATTGGAGGGTGAACTTAACTGACATGGCAAGTCCACTGCATCTGGGCTTTCCCCCACGCTCCCAGGTCCAGGACTGGCCCTCAGTGGCCTGCCTCCTTGACTCTCCCAAGGCCCCAGTCCCTCAGGAGGACACCTCACAGCACTGCCTTCCCTGAGGCTCAGCCAGGCTTGAGCTGTCCCCTAGGCCTGGGCACAACCATGCTCTGCAGGGTGATACCTGTGGGTAGTTTGCCCCGAGCTCCAGCCCTCCATCTCCTCCTCATCCCGTGCCAGCTCTAGGCCTGCTCTCTGCCTCTGGGCCTGGATCTGTATGACCACCCAGAGTTCCAGCCTCAGTCCTAACCCGGGAGGAGAGCAAGAGTGGCAACTCCAGAACCATTCGAAATTGATTGGAATATGACCCAGAGGCAGCTCAAGAGTCAGGAAAGCCCCCTCCAGCCCCTGCCAGTCTGCACCCAGAGGCTTCATCCCATGTGTTCTCCAAATATTTGCTGAAACTGTGACATTCTCCCACTGGTGTATCCTTCCTGGGGCCCAGGAATGCTGGGGACACAACCCCCATCACCAGAGAATCCTAGAGGAAGCAACCTTAAATTCTACCTTCTGATAGGTTAGATAGTACTGTTTGAAATTCATAAGGGCTCCCAGGCTCAGAGAGGGTGAGCATCCTTCTAGGCTCACACAGTAAAGCAATGGCCTGCTGCTCCTCCACCACTTACCTGAACTCTCCTTTTTTCGTCTGGATGATTTCTTCTCTGTTTCACTTGCAGTGCTCCCAAGCACCCTGTAGTCCTCACCTGGGCCTCCTGTGGCATCCACCAGGCCAGGGCTGCTGGCCCCTGTATCCCTGGAGCTCCCAGCTGGGCCCAGGTTGAGCCTTTGCCGGGCCTCAGAAACAGGGAAGTGCCAATCAGGGGGTTGTGGAAAGGCAGGGTGCTGCTCAGTGAAGATGCGGTCTTCCCGGGGTAGGCTGTGTGGGGCGGCTGCCAGGCAGGAGGCTGAGAAGTCGGGGTACGCCGCTGCCGCTGTCGCTGGGAAGTCTGATTTCTGATGGAAGGAGAATGGGGTTGGCGGGTAGTGGGGCAGCCCTGAGGCCCCACCGCCTTCGGAGTTGGGGTTTCGAAGGCAGCCCCAGACCGGCGCTGGGGGGTGGGGGTTCCTCAAGCAGCTACTGGCTACTGGATCCATCTGCTGTCCGCCACACGCCTCAGTCCTTTCACGGATCTGACTCTTGATACTTCTTATATTTAAAAACTTTAAATACAAAAAAAGAAAAACAGGAGAGGGAAAAGTTCCACAGAAAATTCACCCCAGGAACCAAAACAAAAACCAAAACTGAAATCTCTCCTCGAAGGACACACACATACATACACGTGACCAGCTGCACACACACGTGTGCACACACCTGTGTCGGGCTTCACCGCTCGCTTCCTGCTCCTGGACACACCAGCCTGCCTATCGGAATCCCTTTCACGTGTATTTGTCGTGGATAGCACTGATCATTTTCACTGTCCCCACCCCGCCGCACCGATGCAGAGAGGCTCTTCCTGCAGAGGGCTGGACCAGGGCTGCTGAGCCACACTTTTAAGTCCTGCGGTGGGAGAAAGTGACAAATTTCTGAAGTGAAATGTGAGAGTGGAGAGGGAGGGGTTAACCCGCGCACACAAGGTCCCCTCCAACCAAAACCCGAGCAGGCAACTATTAATCACCAGAAACCTTATATGCACATCTAATGGGATTTACAGACGGAGACTTTTAAAGAAACATTGTCTGTATTTTTTTTCTTAAGGAGAGAGAGAGCGGCAAACACACACACACACACACAAACCAGCTTTGGTGTGCCTCCTGTAACACTATAAAGTTATTTTTATTGCACTGTTAACAAAATTCCCCAAGTCTTGGATTTGGAAAAAGCTTTAAGTCAGATCCAGAGTCCACCAAATGCCAAATTCCGGGGATGGAAGTGAGGAATAATTTCAAGAGACACGCTTGGTGAGTGCACTGATTTAAAGCCCCTTCTGCTGCTTGCAAAACAGGAAGGTAGATTAGAAGACCTTTTTTGCAAGTCTCAGCAGTCCACTGTGGTCTGTGGTATAAAGAAAGTCTCACTCCAGAAAAAATTTATTTTGCTCTGCTCAAAGAGATACTCACACTTTCTCCATAACTTAAAAAAAAAAAAAAAAAAAAGCCATCCAGTTCTTCCTTGCATTTTTTTGACCTCCAGCTTCCATGGTAAATAGCCGTGCTCTCCTCCAGAGAGCCCCATGTCATTTTTTTCTGAAGTAAAGGCAAAGCTCTTAGATAAAGTCCTTGAAATTTCTCTGGGCCTCCCCACACCTGTCCCTTTAGTGTCTCTCACCTGCTTCCCTTTCTCAACCTCCCAAGGCCAAGGTATCTTTGGAACCTGGGGTGTGGAGATGAGAACTGGAGGCTCCTTGTTCCCAGAGACGTCCCCTGAAGAGACTTCTCTTTTGCAGACTGTCTTCCTAGCTGGTTCCTGTCACAGGTGGCCAGCCCAAGTACTATTTCAATTGGCCAATCCACCTAGGTCACGGCGGTGCCCTGCTGGCTTGTCTGGAGGGTTAATGTAGTCTGTCAAAGGTGAAGTCTGAGGTGCAGGGAGCCGAGCTCCTCTTCCACCCAGAATTTCCATGGCTCAGAGCAGCAGGATCGGGGCAGAGTCGGAAGCATTCCTGTTGGCTGGTCCCAAAGACACCAGAGTCCCCCGAGGAGGGGTCCTGGGGACAGACCTAGGAGGAGAGAGAGGAGCCCAGGTGTGGAGGAGAGGCCATGCTTGTCTTTAACCCAGAAACTCCAGTCAGATGTGCATCCCAGGGTGCAGGAAATGAAGGATGGGTATGGTGCATGCGCATGAGTGACCAGGGGGTTATAGGGCAGAAGAGGAGGCAGAGCCATAGTCACAAGCCCGGCTCCTCACACACGATCCTCCTCTGAGCCTCACAGCCAGCTACTCTGGGTAAAGTAGGAGTTATGTCTGCATTATGCAGGTGAGGAAACTGAGGCTCAGATGAGCTCAGCAGGCTGGGCTGCTCAGATCTCACAGCTAAGAAATGGCAGAACCAGGAATCATCTTGGAGTGTCCAGCTGTTCAGTCTGGAGCAGGCCAGCTGCAGAGGAGGGGATGTGAGATTTGTGACTCTACAGGACTGAGTTCAAGTGGTTGGCCACTATCAGCTGTGCACCCTGGGAAAAGTCACATCACTTCTCTGGGCCTCTGTTCCTCACTGGGTGCTAATCTTAGCACCTTGTTCATATTGACCCAGTGGTCCCCACAAACCTCTGAAGCAAGGACTGTTCTTGTCACCTGTCTCTGAGAAGCAGGAAGCACAGAGAGATTGTGTAACCTATACCAGGTCACACAGCCAGGAAAGGGAGGCCCCAGGATTCAAACTCAGGCAGCCTATGCTGGGTGTATCAGAGTGCCTGCCCCACAGACACCTGGGAAATTTAAATGAAACCATTTATTCCAAAGACAGAGTGAGCAATGGATACATGAGACTGTCTCCCTGCCATATCTAATTATTAACCTCGGAGATTCTGAACTGAGAAGGAGGAAGTTGGACACTGAGGGAATTACATAGAAACAACCCTGTGAGGTCCTGGGCTCTATGCTGCGGTGTTCTGGAAGGAACCCACAGAAGCTGGGAGGAAGATGTAGCTGTCAACTTCCCTAGGAAAACCTTCCCAGCAGCCTGGCTTGGCAGGCTGTAACCGGATTCCTGTTCGGCCTGCATCTGGCTCAGGGACCCCATCCCAGGGAGGCCCCACCTAGCCCTTTGCCCCTGGAAGGGGTGGGCGCTGGGTCAGCGGTGGGGTGGGTGGAGAGGTCAGGAGGGGCACGAGGTGGGAGGCGCAGTGGGGGGGCTCTGTGCTGAGAACCAGGGCCTGGCACCCTGGTGCCCCAACAGCTGCTGGTGTCTGTCAGCCCCTGGGGGCACTGCCTGGGGCCTGCCACCTCTACATCTTCATGACAGGTCCCTCTGCTGAGGCCAGGAAAAAACAACAACATTCCCTCCCCGCTCTGCAACCCATCTGTCAGATGATAGCACTGCACCTTTAACCTCCTCAAAGCCAGCGCTATCCTGTCAAGGCCCCGCAGCTCCCCAGAGACAGCGATGGATGGAAGTGGCTGTTTGTAGAGACACTCCTGTGGCCACAGCCAAGGGGAGCGGTTTTCAGGAAGGGAGGGGCCCCGGCTTCTGGTGTTCTTGGGGGTGGCAGAGGGGGAGGAAGAGGAAAAGTGTGAGTCAGGAGGACAGCCCAAGTGGCTTCGAAGAGGGCCTTTGACTTGGACACACCTGAGCCATCCTACAGGACTTTTAGAATTCCCTCCAGAGTGCATGACAAGCAGATGTGTCCTTGGCATGGCAGACCTCCTTCTGGACTTGGCCACCCCTCCCAAGTGTGCCTGGATTCAGAAGGGCCTCGGATCTGGAGGCAGAAGAAGCTGACTGAAGGTGTGGTCTTGCCTTTCACGGACTGTGTGGTCTCAGGCAAGTCACACCCTTCTCTGAGCCTCGGTTTTCTCACTGGCAAATTGGAGTTGACAGTACTGGTGGCGTGTGGCTGCCCTGAGGATAAAGGAACTGAACTCGCACACAGGAACTGGCTGACTACAGAGGGAAACACAAGGGGGAAATCACTGTGTCTTCTCTGTCCTTAACTATGCAGAAACTCCTGTAGGTCACAGCTGGGCAGAGGGGGAGGAAGAGCATCCTAGCCCCCAAATTCCTCCTCCTGTGGCCACACAACACAAGGGTCAAGATCATGGTCTTGGGAATCAGGCGGGTATGAGTTCAAATCCCAGTTCTGCCATTAATAACTGAATGGCTCTGAGCCATGGCTTTATGGAGTGAGCCTCAGTTTCCCCATTGGGGCGTTGAGACAGTGAGGAGGTCACTGATGAAAGCTTTGGTTATAGTCTGGTGTACACTGGTGTGTCTGATGACAACACCAGAGAGTACTATGTTAAGGACACCTCCAGACAGCCCCTGTAAAACACTTGCACCTCACTTGAGAGGGTACAGCATGAAACCATTAACATCCACTCACACAGTAGAACTTGGGAACCAGATAAGACACCTGTTCCCAGGTAAGAACTGGAGGCACAGGGCAGGAGGCAGACCAGTTGTGACTAGGTCCAGAACAGGTGCAGGCGAGGGTATGAGCCTCGGAGTTACTCCAGTCTGCCTTAAAGGGCTTTTTTGAGGCTCAAATTATATCATCCATGGGACAGAGATGAGCAACCTACAGAACACCATCCTTACAGTTATCACAGTCCCCCTGGGAAGCCTGCAAGGGGCAGCCCAGTAATGGAGTCTCTCTCTGAGGCCAATAGGAAAAGGGGACCAGGAACTAGAGAAAAGGTTAGATCAAGAAGAATTAACCTAGAAGGTAACACACATGCACAGGAAATCAATGTGAGTCAATGCCCTGTATAGCTATCCTTATCTCAACCAGCAAAACCCCTTGTTCCTTCCTATTATTGCTTATACTCTCTCTACAACAAAATTAGAGATAAGGGCAAAATAGTTTCTGCTGGGTATCGAGGGGGTGGAGGGGAGAGGGAGGAGGCGGGGTGGGTGGCAAGGGAGGGGGTGGGAGCAGGGGGGAGAAATGACCCAAGCCTTGTATGCACATATGAATAAAAAAAAAAAATGGAATCTCTCTCTAAATCCCGGGAACACCATGCTCATGGAGAAAGTTCCAAGAGGAAAATTTTCTCTTCCATGTATATTTTTCATCCTTTGGTGTCAGCTGTCACTTGTCTGCTCCCGAGACTGTAGACAGAGGACCAAAAACAGTACTAGCTAGATTGGCCTGGGTGCAAGACCTGGCTCTTGGTGGTCACATGACCTCAATTCCTGCAACTTTGAGCAGAGGCTTGATGTGCAGACAAGGTTCAGACCCTCAGTAAGTGCCCAGCAATAGGGCACCTTCCAGGGTCTGTGCCTGAAGGAGTTAGATGCATGCACATTGCCAAGGTGTGGGGAGGTGGCCTTGGCCAGGCTGGGACAGGAGGACTGGTATCAGTTAGGACTAGTCATCTGAGAAAAACTCAAATCAATAGAAGGGAAGACACACAGAGTTGGTTAGGTCACTCATAAAAGAGGTCTGGAGTGACTGTCCAGGCTGGGATGGCAACTCCTCCCACTCACCAGGGACCCAGGCACTGTGTCTTTCTTCCTCACTCCCCCTCTGAGCCTTGTGACCTTCTCACTCAAGTTGCTGTTGACACTCAGTTGTCATGTCAGCATTCCAAGTAGCAGGAAGGAGGAA